TTTTTCTTGAATACATTTAAAAATTAAACACTGCGATCGGAACTAAGAAAACTAAACCAAAATTAGAGCAATTGAAAGATGAAAATATGAAAATTATAAAAAACTATAGTAAAATTAATCGAGAATTTCTCGAATCGTACCGTTAATGGTAGCGCGGTCGTAGAAAGCGAAGTGGTATAGCGAGCGCCTTTCTCGATTCCCATTGGTCGAAGAGATTGGCGCCAATTCGCCTTGTTTTAGGCGAAAAGAAAGTAACGAGAGGCGAGAGAGGGAAATTCACTTTTGGTTTTCATTGTGACGTCGCCGATAGGTGATCGGGTTACGTGCAAATTGTATAATCGGTTTTTTATACGGTACTGCTATAGAGCGGTCCATATGGTTAAGGTGCGTCTGGTGTACGGTTAACTTCCGGTCAATCAGCCCTAATAGCGACTTATGTAAATTCGCTTCAAGATTATAAAATAAGAATCGCTTTTATAATGTCCTTCGACGTTGTGCGATGTCTAGTCTTTATTGGTTTCGGCCATCCCAGTCTCCATCACGCAGATTTCTTGAGCTCATCGCCTTCTTGAGACACTCTCGATCCAAGAATTTACTACCGAGAAAAATCAAAGATTTTCCTTCATTTAAGATTTAAGTAAGAACAATTTTTGGATTGTCACGGGGTTTTTAACAAGATACTGTCTCAGCAGGACAAGAAACAACTCTGGTTCATGCCTTTTGTCGGTTGGAAAGGAGCAGATGTCTGTTTTCCGACTTTCCAACAACGGCTTGATTAAAGCTGTGTCACAAATTACCTATAACAGATGCGAAAGAAAGCGACTGCATCGGAAACCGCTCGGCAAACCCGACACGCCTATTGAGTGGTGTAAATACACCAGTCGTTTAGTCCGAAAACCTATGCTGTGTCGTATTCGCTTGCTGCAATGACATAGTGCGTGGTTATATGTTTCTTTTTAAAAACGCGTGTAGGATTTTTTTGGAACTTTTGAACTGTTATTTCCAAGTTTTGGTAATTTGTATATCTTATTTAAAATGGGATGCAAATGTGTTTATTTATAAGGAAAAAAAAGATATTTATAGTATAAAAAATTAATTTATTTAACAAAATTTAATTAAAAATGTGACAAAATAGTTACCTTTCTATTGGTTCTATCGGACTTTTTTCGACTATATAAATCTTTATTTTTAAACTTTAATACATCAAATATTTTCAATCTAATAAATCATTTAATGATGTAAATAAGAGGAAATTTCTCACATGGGTGGTCAAATTTTATAGTTTTCATTATATCAAACAGCCTCTGAGAAATGTTTTCAACTCAAAATGCCTTTAATTATGTTTGATTACATCATTAAAAAGGGTCTTCAAATACATCAATGTGATATTTGTCTAAAATTTGCAAAAGAATCCGAATCTCTGGATAACTCGAAATTATTTACCCACTGAAAAGCCTTTGATCATGAAAGTGGAAAAATTTGCTCATTTTATTTACAGGCTGGAAAAATTATTTATATTAAATTTTGATGAGTTTTGCACTGAAGAAAATATTCAGAGGCTGTTTGATATAATGAAAACTATAGAATTTGACCACCCATGTGAGAAATTTCCTCTAATTTACATCATTACATAGCTTTACTTTGCACATGCTTACTTGCTACACGCCTTACAACAATACTTTCTGGCCAATGATTTATTGTTAAACGTGCAAACGCAGTTGTTGCTTTTTGAAAAACGAAGTAGTAGCTTATGTACGTTATGCATTAAATTTTTTCTACAGATACATTAAAATTTCTAGGCAAACTTGTGGACAAAATATTGGATTGGAAGGCTCATGTTTCTAATGTTTCTGCGGGACTTGCCAGATATAGCTATGCATTCAAAATAATTACGTAACATATTGGAAGGGAAGCGGCTATAACTGGGTATCATGCTTATGTACAGTCACTATTAAGATATATGGGTTCATTTTTGTACGATGTAGCAGGGATGTGGAATTGTCCTGGAATTTGTCTGTCCTAAATGTCAATGGAATTTTCCTTTTGAAGTTGTTCCTAACTCATGGTGTTATTAGTTCTAGAATGACCTCCATTGCTGCTGTTGGACATGTTCTCATGGCTCCTGTGATGCAGATGCATGCCAGTCTCTGCACAGCTTTGCATAGGCCTTGCTGTAAGTTTCTCTAGTTGTGTGTACCAAGCAACTATATAACTGCTCTATAGGTAATCATGGGTCTTACTAACATGGAATACATCCAGCGCAAAATGTTACGGGCGCAGCCCCATCTATTTCCCGTCAGTCTTCTGCATATCATGACAACATTTGTGACTTATTTGCTGGTAATGTTCTTAATATCCATAAAAGTTTAATGCCCAGGTTTATTCCCAGATATGCCGTATGATCGAATAAAAACGGCGTCAGCGATAGCTATGAAATGAACATCGTTGTCATTTTATATGTAAAATTATATGGGAAATGTCATCGATCGTCATTCCATAGCCATCGCTGACGCAGTTTTTATTCGATTTTTCGAAAAATTAATAATGTATAAGGTGTGGCATTGAAAATAAGAAAACTATTATCAGTATCAGAAACTTGGTATTTGTCTCCTTTATCACAAACTCTGTATGAAGAAAGTTTTTTTGAAAAAATGCACAATTAAAAATACTAATACCAATAATTGACGTGTCCCACCGTTTTCTCTACCATTTAAAATACAGGGTCCGGCAAACTTGTGTAAACCTAAAGTAACTACGAGAATGTATTTCAGGAAAATATTTTAACTTCTATAGGGTGGTACAAAAAATTGTGAGTGGATCGGGATGATTTTTTTTAAATGGAACACCCTGTATATTATTGCATTTTTAGCTTCCTTTCACATCACTTTACATAATCCTAAGATATGCGTAAAAATTATATTTATCAGCTTTTATAAAAAAAATATTAAAAATACAAGTATCCTGAATTAGGTACCCATTTACTTTAGATGGTCTAAACTTAACTTTGCTATAAATATCGCAATCTTAAATCGTACAGGATGTCCAAAATTTAACGCCAAACTTTCTAAAATATAAAATAATTTTTCTTTGTTTTGTTTTAATGTAACACCCTGTATATTATTTTTTTATTAAATGAAGAATTAAAAATGAACATTTTCTCCATTTAAAGTATTTCAAAATTTTTAATGCTTTCGCTGATACACGCAGTATTATTTCATATCGCTCACTCCACGGTAAAATACAAGAGAAAAATAAATTATTGGGTGGCTTTGATAAAAATTTACTATGGAAAATGCCACATGAAATATAAACCGCAAATATCTGCGAAACCATTAAAAGTTTTGAAATACTCTAAATACAAAAAAAAAATTATTTCTTAATTCTCCTTAATTTTTTCATTAGATGAAAAATAATATATAGGGTGTTCCATTTAGCAAAACGAAGAAAAATTATTTTATATTTTAGAAAGTTTGGCGTAGAATTTTGAACATCCTGTATGATTTGCGATTACGATATTTATAGCAAAGTAAGTACCGTAAAATGGGGTGAATAGAAACATAGTGGTGAATAGAAACAAAATTTCTGAAAAAAATCAAATCACGATTAAAAATATTCAAAGTAAAAAGAGTCGACATATCTAATTTTTCTATCATTGGTAATACACAATAAAATGTAAAAACTATATTTTTATCTGTGGCAGCACTGTTTCTGTCAATCAGCTCATCAATAAATGTGAGATCGATTTATCACCTATTTTGTATGGCGCGAAAACTTTATAAATAAAATATTTATTTTTAAAGTGATACATAAGCTGGTACATGTAAGTTGTCATATTATATGTATTATTAATTATTGTTAAACCTACTTAAATATGTAATAATTTACTGTTTCTAATCGCCTTGTTGGAAGTAGAATAGATAAAAACATTAACATCAATGTGTGTTTCTATTCTCCTGAATAGCAGATAGAAACACAAATGTTATTTTTATTTAATATTTATATGCATATTTTTCAAAAATCAAATTATATGTATACGCAAAGAACAAACAAAGACCCATGTTTTAAAATATTCGGGAAAATAATACCACATTTTTATCAACCGGTATATCGCTAATAGCCTACGAAACTGTTTCTATTCACCCCATTTTACGGTACAGACTATTTAAACTATATACCTAATATAGTTTTGATTTCAGGACAGTTGTATTTTTAATATATTTTTTAAAGAAAGGCTGAAAAATATATATTTTTTATTTATTTATTAATATCTCTGAAACTATCGAAATATATTTACTCATATCTTAGGATTATGTAATGTGATCTAAAATGAAGCCAAAAATGCAATAATATACAGGGTGTTCCATTTAAAAAAATGATCCCGATCCACTCATACTTTTTTGAGCCACCTTATAGAAGTTAAAATATTTTCCTGAAATACATCCTAGTACATACTTTAGGTTAGCACTTCAACAAAATTTCCAAGTTTTTTATTCTAGAAGCTACAGATGCCCGACGCACTATTGCCGGACCCTGTACATACATACACATTTATGATACACACTGTATTAACTATGGAGTGTAGAGGTACCTCTACACTCCATAGTATTAACAGTAAATTTATAATGCGAGACCACCTGCAACCAGTAATACAATAAATTAAAAATTAGGAAAATTTATTTCTATTTATCTAATTTCATCAATAATATAGTCAGTACTGAAAAGATCTAAATTTTATTTACATTGGAAGGTAAGGAAAAAAATTAATATTCCGGCGACCGCCGCGCCGTAATCTAAATAAAAATTTCGATTTTTATACGTGTAAGCATAAACAAATTCTATTCATATATTTGCATGGCTTTACTGTGTTTTAATCTAGCTTTCTGGAATATTGGAACTAAGAGAAACACCTAAAAATTAAGATATTTGCAGAATGTGATACTTGTTTCATATTCTTCTACTGCAAAGTATCGATATCCATATTTTTTATAAATTCTATTAATCATCCTTCCTAAGCGCACCATAGATAAGAGAAAGCGGACACGGATATAACCTCACAAATTGCGGCACCAAATCAAAACAAAACTATAAAATCTTTGCTGCCTCTTAAGCCAAATTATAGGTGTAAAGTTTTATTATTCAGATAAGGCTGTTTAGTTTTAATAATGGTAAAGTTAGGTGAAACATTTCCAAACTTTTTTGTAAAAACCACGTTCGGAGATATGTATTTACATGATTGGTTTAAGGATTCGTATGTTAACACCGAAAACACGCTTCAGTATAAGTTTAAAACTATTTTAATTCTAGATGGGGTGTTTTCTTTTCCCATCCCGCAGATTTTACTCCTGTATGTACAACCGAGTTGGGAAGAGCGGTACAACTGAAAGAAGAGTTTGCGAAGCGTAACTGTAAACTGATTGCTTTATCTTGTGACTCGGTAGAGTCTCACTTGCTATGGGAAAAGGATATAAAATATTGGGCAGGTAGAGATAGTGAGTTTCCCTTTCCCATTATTGCAGATGAAGACAGGGAACTGGCTATAGTTTTAGAAATGCTCGATCCAAGCGAAAGGGATTCTAAGGGCCTTCCATTAACTGCAAGAGCAGTTTTTATTGTAGATCCCGATAAAAAATTACGTTTGTCAATATTATATCCTGCTACAACAGGAAGAAACATGAAGTAAGTTTAGGAATTATTAATTCTTATCTTCCTTTCATAACATTTTAATTTTTTTTAGTGAAATATTGCGGGTTCTAGATTCCCTAAAACTTTGTGATAAGTACAAAGTAGCGACACCCGTCGATTGGAAGGTAAGTTTGTAATTTTTCCTTACCATTCCTATTTTTTTCAATAACATATTCCATAGCAAGGAGATGAAGTTATGATTCAACCTACAGTATCTGAAGAAGAGCGCAAGGTTTTATTCCCTTCTATGACAAGTTCAAGTTTACCTACTGGAAAGAACTATATTAGGAAGACATTTGTCAATTAAGACTAACTAAAATCTCAGTTGTATAGTTGTTTATAATGTTTTGTATTGCTATTCTTAAGGAATAAATTGAAAGGATAACATTTTATTAATATTTTAGTTTTTTCTTTTTTTTTAATCTGAATGACTGAAATAAACATATTATTTAGCAGGCTTCATTTGGTTAAATATTATATTATTTTATGACTTCATTTGATTAACTACTTATTAACTGATTTATATGGACTAATTACTGAAAATCATGCTAATTCTTTTGAGTGTTCCAGAAAATAATGTCGTGTAATAACATAATTTTATATAATTTTAACTATATAAACTATTCTAGAAAACCAAATGTTATGTTATAACATTAATTGCAATCTTTTCACTACTTTCTAGTATGTTTTTGTAACGTTAAAACAATAATATTTTTTCACTGATTACATAGAACACTTTCTGCAAGCATTTCTTGTGTTGTGAAATTAAATAAATATGAGTTACAATATGGAGTATTTAGGCCAGGTTTAAACTATATTTAAACCATAAAATAATAGAAGTAAAGATTTAAATTCCACTGAATTGCGAAACATATTTCATTTCTATTTCTTCATTAACAAAATAAGTAAAATTTACAAAAATTTGATTATTTTAGCACTCGATCCTCATGATAGATGGTGCCACATGTTGAAAATATTTGAAATTTAACGCGGCATGCCAACTTGACAATTATGCAGCAAGCGCTGTCAATGTCAGCTGATAGCTGATGATTTGTATTCCGAAGTTTGGGCAGTTTTTAGGGCTATTTATTAGGATGAGATTTCAAAAATTTGTCATTTGTAATAAAAGGTAGCTAAATTTTAAAAATGTCTAACGAAGAAGAGAAGTGGACTGTATACAACGCGTCCCAATATTTGCCGGCAGTGTTAAGCGATCCGAATAAAGGTAAACAGTTGAACTTTTTTACAAGAACATGGGGCGATGCATTTGTGGAGAAGGTAGAAGTAGAAAGAAGTCCTTTTTTACCCGAAATAACGTACGGACATTTCGACCAGTATTTTCGAAAATACGGAAAGCGCCATCGAAGGCATCAGAGGTTGAGCGAAGCAAAACTAGAGGAAACTAATAAACCTAAACTAAAGTCTGAAATACCCGAGTCTCAAGATAAACTTGCTGTTATTCCAAAAATATATTTACAGTCGGAATTTAATTTAAATGATCCAAAGGTAGTAGAAGATCACTTAGTACAGTATTGTACATAAACATATGTGTTTCAGGTATTTAATGAAGTTTTTAAATACGAAACAAAAACTGAACATGATTTACAAGAGGAGTTAAGTTATTATCTTGATATTGTTGAGGAGCATATAGCTAAACAAGTATCACAAAAGTCTGGTGCTTTTTTTCATGCTATGACTTCCCATGATACTATAATGGAGCAAATGGGTGTTGCAACAAATGAGGTAAAGTTATTTATTTTTTTAAATGTTGATTTTAATTGTTCCCCCTTTAGGTCAGACTATTACGATCCAAAGTACAAAAAGTTAACAAGTGTTTGACAAGAGATGCTCTCAGAATTTTAGCTTTGGCAAGAGCTAAGAATAACCATGTAGCTTTAGTGGATAAATTAAAACTTATGTCAACTGTGTTGCAAACTCAACCAACATTACAATTATTACTTAGTTCTGCCGATTATGTGGGTGCATTGGAGTTGATTGCAGGTAGGTTATTGTATATTTTTATTATGGTTAATATGTTATTTTTTTGTATTTAATAATTGATTTTACAAAATTTAATCTTTGTGTTGTAATTTGTCAAATACGTTTAAAATAAAGTATATGGAGGGTACCGCTTAAATTCCTGTCCCGATATTGAAGGATGGCTATAGAATTTTAATGCATTTCCTACATAAGTCTATCCTTGGTTTGTAGGAGGTTTGACTAAACAAGGATGAACCTATGTCTTGAACATTCGACTCGATTTTCTGTCCTCCTTCAATACTGGGACGTAAATCCTCTCATTGCTCTTATGGGGAGGCTGTCGTATATTTTTTTTAAACGTATTTGTAATTTGTAGATTTAAATATTTAAATTTGGCAAATTCTCTTTTATTATTAATTTTTTATTGACAATTAATTGTACACAAAATAAATTTACTTCATATTATCACTATCTTGAAATGCAGTAAACAGGTGAATTGTGAAATCACTACTATGTAGAGGTTTAATTCTTTATCACATTCATTATCATGTCTGTTATCAATGATGACCCCATTGATGACACATAAGGTACTACAGGTTATTTCTACTCCCAATTGTTAATTTTCTTAACAATTTGTTATTATATTGAATCATTGGCTATGAAAATTTTTCCATACCATTACAGTTAATGTATTTAACAACAAATATACTTGTTTTCTATGTACTTAGGTTAATGTATTTAATATAATACACATTAGAATAAAATATCTCACATTTGACACAATTTACCTCTACAAAAGTGCTTTGTTTTTGTCCTTTAGAGGGCATCAAAACTTTAAAAGAATAAACACGTTTTTTAAGATATTTTAAGAACCGATATACCAATTTGTATGAAATTAGGGGTGTCTATGTTTTGCTAAGCCCCTTAACATTTGATCTTCACAAATATCAAGAAAAAGTACGGGAAGGGCGAAAACTACCCCCACCCCCACATAAATTTTACTAGAAATATTTTTTACTACACTGACCACTGATATTTTTTTCGTAAAATTATTTTCCTAGTATTTACTACATTTTTGTCTCTTGTTAAAAAATGACACATCATATATTTTTTGAGAAACAATTGAACAAAGGTAATTTTTTAAAAAATTAGAGAATTTTTTTTCCAAAGCAGACCTATGAAATATACAGGGAGTTCCAATATTGGTTAAATTGGCCACAAACCTCTGTAAATTTTGGTCGGCACCTCAAATCAGAATAACCGTTCTATTTTTTTTTGTTTGATGCTCTCTAACAGACAAATGAAGCACTGTTGTATAGAGGTAAATTGTGTCTAATGAAATTATTTTGATTCACAAAATAAGTAGTAGTTCTATATCCACGGAATATTGGGACACCCTGTATATTTTTTTGGTTATAATATAAATAAAATATATGCCTTTTATACATGGTGGTCCGAACTGTATTCCGGAAACTTCGGCAGCGTATTCTGCAGATAAAAATAAGTAAAAAGGTTTGTATAAATGTATTGTCCTAAAATGCTTAGTTTCGGAGATATAGGGTGTAGAAGTTTCATTTTTATTTCGATTTTTTCCAAATAATTTCTGAAATAACGTCAATATTTAGATGAAAATTGATGTTGGTGTCAATATGAGTCCTATATGTATTTTAACAACTGTTTTTAAGAGTAATAACTTTTCGTCCGAACCTGTATAAAACTACTGGGTGAAAATATATACATTTCGGTGATTTTTTACGTAAAAAATATCTCTTGGTAAAAATCGTTACAAACAACCGTTCTCGAGATATTTGGAATGGAAATAGACAATATATGTCATTATTACCCAAAAATAAACAATGTTAACAAACCTGACTGAAATGATCAATTTGAGAAATTTTTATTTTTTTTTAATTAATCATAAATTTGTCTGCGAAAAAATGACGATAAAACAGTTTCTGTTGAACTTTTGGCACAAAAACATTTCCAATTTGTGATTTCAGTCTAATAACTATTTAGTCAACATGATTAATTTATGTCAACGATGACAGGTATTGATAATTTCGATTTCAAATATCTCGACAACCATTACTCGTAGCGATTTTTACCGAGAGACCTTTTTTACGTAGAAAAAGTCGTAAATGTATATTTTTTACTCAGTAGTTTTATACAGGTACGGACGAAAAGTTATTGTTCTTCAAACCAGGTAAAAAATATGTAGGTGGCGCCCTTTACAAGTAGGAGTCATATTGACTTCAAAATCAAATTTGTCATGTCAAAAAACTCACAGACACCAATTTTTATTCAAATATTGACGTTACTTCATAAATTATTTGAAAAAAAAAATCTAAATAAAAATGAAACTTCTACACCCTGTATATCCGAAATGAATCATTTTAGGACGTACATTTATACGAACTTTTTTACTTATTTATATCTGCAGAATATGCTGCCGAAGTATCCGGAATACAGTTTGGACCACCCTGTATACAGGGTGTCAAAAATAGTGTTTCTAACTTGTGGGTGATTCTACAGATAAAAATAAAACAAAAAATTCCTATGAACGTATGCCCTAAAATGCTTCTCGAATAAGTTACAGCCCTCGAAGAGTTAAATAAAAATAATATATTTTGTTTATTTTTAAGAAGATTGGTAAACCATTTTTCCTGAAATTTGGTACTTTTATACACATTTTAATGCTAAAGCGAATGGCAATGGTGGAAAGTACGGGTAACGTTAAGGTGCGATTTCCTAGCGACGCCTGGCGCCCGCGTCTCGCCGCACACTGGTTCGTTTTTTGAACGTACGTGGCGAAACCTGTATATCAATGAAAAGTAATGTATTGCTTTATAGACGTCGCTAGGAAATCAGATCTTTAGATACACTATTTTTTTGACACCCTGTATAGTCTAATTTTATTAGTTTATGTTCATGTAAACTTGGTTTGAAGTTTCCTAAGGTTATTATAAATTTTAGGCACGCAAGATGTTTTGGCCAGAGAGTTAGCAGGAGTTACTAGTTTAAGACATTTGCCATCTCAGCTTAAAGAAATGTCAAAGTTAATAGATAAAATGTTAAGTACAGATTTTGAGAGATATGCTGCAGCTGATCTACATAGACCGCTGGATACTAATGAAGGTACTTTGTTTGTTATTGGTACTACCAGTAACAAAATAAACTAATGTAAATTGAAATTTAGGTGTACTAGAACCTGACAGATTAATAAGTTTGGTAGCGGGATTACTCAAACAGAGCCATTTACAGTTTCTTGAAATATACAAACAAGAAGCTGTAACTGCAGCCAAAGCATTGCTGAAGCAGCTGATGATTGAACAGTTGGCTGATGCAGAAGACGAGTTGAACGAATTGACAGGTTCTGGTGAGGTGGCGCCACCTATGGATTCTGATCATTGGCTGAAAGTTTTGAAGTTGGGCAGTGAAGCACTTGGTTAGTAATTAATATTTTATTATTGAAATAAATAAACAAGCTTCAGTTCCTCAATAATTTTCTTTCTGTACCATTAGATTATTTGTTTTTATATTTACATATAAAGTAGATAAGGTACTGTATTTATCTGTATTTTAAATTACAGTATAAATACAAATTACTTAAATTACAAACTATATCTAAAATCATAAGGAATTGCCAATCATTATAGGCTTGGTGCATTTCAGTTGATTTCAACAAATTCCGTCGGCAGCGCTTCAACGGCAGAAATCAGAAATTATCAGTATGTACACGCCGCCGCGCCGCGCCGTCCAGGTTACAGTTCATGTTGATCGTATTAAAATAAAGTTATAAGAAATGTCTATACCTATGTGGCGGATTCATCTCTCCAAAAAAATCCTTTATGGGTATTTCGCCACTGCACTGCAAGAAAATCTACAAAATAAAATAGTTATTTTTTGTAAACACTTCTGCGTTAAACCTAAACAGACACTGCTTGTCAGAATTTATGTTTACAGTTATACAAATTTGCCTAACAAAGAAAAAAATGCTTAACGTTTCGGAAAGTCTATCTCTTTCCGTCGTCAGAAACAAAAAAAAATACAAAGAATAAAGAAAAAAAACTTTAAAATATTTAAATTCAAACTATTATGAGAAGACTTTAGTTTTTTTAAAAATTTTTGACAAAACAATGATTGTTTCATAAAGGATTTTTTTGGTAAATAAAGTTGAAATCGTGGCGTTGTCATAATATTTAAGTATTTTAGTTTTTTGCTAGTGCAGTTATTGAGGGTATAAAACACTCAAGTACGAGGTTTGTGTGATGTAACGCTGTTTCGGGTTGTAAAAAATAAGCGAAAAAGAATTCGAACTAGGCGTCGTGTTGTGTGACAATTTCAAATCTTAATAAAATTGCCAAACAAATGTTAAAGTGTAAAGAGAGCGTAATTAGGGCATTGTTGGGTGCAATAACATTCAACAACTCAACTTATTTAACTCTCCCCAAAACATTTTATAGCTTCATAGTTTTTCACACGAATTTGATCAAAAGTAAAAATGGATTCAAGCAGCTCGACGAAACAAGTGAGTTAAAGTGCTCCTTACATAATAAAAAAAATAAATAGACATAATACCACAGATTAGGTATCCTATAAGTATACAGATAAAAATCTTGTCCTTAATTCGTGGTACGAAAATTGTTTTTATGACGATGTGCAAACGAGTCAAATTTCCTGTGCGCAAAAATAAACTCGTGTAAAATAACAATAAACAGCGTAATAGAGAGATATCGCTAAACCGAATAGCGTGCATGGACGTTAATAAGGCCAGGTGTTATTTCCTTTACATGAGGTGGTATTAACTCTCTTCATTTATAGTTATTGGATCGGAAAGAATTTGATCGCGTCGCGTCCGCTATTTAAACTTAACCTAACTTTGAATTTAAAACTTTGAAATTGTTTTGTTTACTAGGTATTTTAAAACTAAAGGGCTAAAGTGCTTATTTCCAGTGCTTTATTGTTCAACGTCTGCAAGTGGGTTTAGGGCAACAAGCAACAAATTTTCTTAGAAGGGCTAAGTCGTCATCTGCTGTAAACCTAAGACTCTTTATAGGTTCTTTAGTATTGGACAAGGTGGAATCCATATTTTGGGCCATATTTATTTAATTAAAACTAATCCCAGCTACTTAAATATCAAATTACCTAATAAAACTAAAGCAATAATTCAAAACAATTCAAACATAACCTAAAATAAAAGATCTCGCCGGCCGGCTCCGGTTGTCAAATATCCGCACATGCCCATTTAAGCAATTTTTAAACGTTATCAGAGGTTATTTAGAAAGAGCGCTTGGTGTAATTGATCCGCAAGTTACGTCAGGCGGTAACGTTATTAGTGGGTGTTGCGTTAAAAATTGACTCGCGCATATCGTAACCATGATAAGGTACGCGTAAATACTGGATGACGTTATTCGGTTTTCCGATATCTCTCTAATAACTGTGCCGCTCAGGCGCTGTGCACAATTTTAGAGGCCATAAGTGGGCGTGCTATGTGCGCAAACTAGTCACCTAACTAGTGCCCGATTCCGAAAATTGGAACCACGAAAAACAATAAAGAAAAAACAAAGATTATAATCTGTATAATCTGTGATAATACTATGATAGGTTAAAATATAATTTGTAATAATAATGGTATACTTTTTTAATCGACTAGTGATTAAATGTTTTATGAACATCTTCTAAAATTATAATTATGTACTAAAAATTTCGTTATAGCCGGAATAGCCTCAATTATGACCCTACTAGCAAAACCGGTGATTAAAACTATGCTCGCTACCGTAGTTGAACTCATCTAAAAGGTTTTTTTAGCTGGAATAATAAATTATAATACAAGTAAGACCTTCTGCAGATATCAAAATATTTACTTTTTTATTTTTAGAATTTTCACACATACTTCCTAAAACTTTTAGAATAATTTGTATAATAAATTTTTTGTATACTCGCTATTTAAACCCGTGTATTTGTATAAATATACTAGTTGTTTACGATATTCTCCGATGGTGGCAGCACCGGCGGAGAATGAATGCACCAAGCCTATAATATAACGTTATAAAATGTTTTCTGTGTGAAATATTAGAGCTTAAGCTATTTAATACCAAATATACAGGGTGAGTCTTAAATAAGTGCAAATATTTTTAGGGGTAGTATATTTCGACCCCAGAAACACGAGAAATCTATGAGGTTCCATTTCATTCCATGAAAAAAAAAATTTGGAAAAAATTTTGGAAATGCTTTTAGTTTTTATGTAAAAATATAATTTATTGATAACATCTCAAAATTTAAACAAAGAATCATTTTTTTTAATTTTCAAGGTGATTTTTGGACTGGAAAGTTTTTTTCAAAGCGACTTGGATTTTTGTAGAGTTTTATTTTGGGCTTATTTTGAAAAACAGTAATGAGAAAATATGTTTCTTTTATCGAGATCTACCAGCCCTGAAAATATTTGCAATTATTTATTTTTATTTAAGTCTCACCCTGTATATTACTACAGATGGGGGTTGGAATAAATGGTGTTACAATAGAAAAATAAAACACTAATTCACCACAGTACACCAAAACACTTTACTTTTGTACTGGACGCGCGTTTCGCTAACCATGTTAGCATTATCAGCAGATGATTAAAACTAAACTAATATCTACAAATTGAGCGTTTATACCGGGTGCGTCTCAAAAGTGGGTTACCCTTATAACTTTTTTATTTTTTCAGATAAAAAATCGAGATTTGTATGTTAGTACATATATGACAAAAATTAGGATTGATTGACCTATTCAATTGTTTTTTATCACTTCCTGTTTCACCGGAAATAACTACAACTTGTGATTTTTAAATGACATCCTCTGTATTTTTTTACTTTATTTAATAGAAAATGACACTCTGAATAGAAGATCATATTATGTCAACTTTTGACATTTTCGAATATGGTTTATTTGAAATTGCAACATGCGATTCATAACGACAATTTCGCTTGAAATACCAAGTGTGTGGTACAACCAAATTATTCGTAAAAAATGCTAATGAGCCACCCTTGTTCCATTTGAAAAAAATTGAGATATGATTAAAAAAACGATTTGGGCATCTTTTAACCGGCCAGGACAAGACACAAAAAACATTAGATGATCTATTTTTCTGAGGCCCTTTGATTAAAAATTAGTGTTTTTAACACAGTCATGGCACTCTAGATTGAAATTAAAAATACATTTTTTTTAAAGCGAAAATGTCAAAAGTTGACATATGATGTGATTCTCTTCAGAGTGTCATTTTTTTGAATAAAGTAAAAATATATCGAGGATGCCATTTAAAAATCAAAAGTTGTAGTCATTTCCGGTAAAACAGGAAGTGACCAAAAACAATTGAATACGTCAATCAATCCTAATTTATGTCATATACTAACATACCCAAACTCGTTTTTTTAACTGAAAAAATAAAAAAATTATAGGGGTGAGTCATTTTTGAGACGCGCCCGGTATAGGCGCTTAGTTGGCGCAGACCAAGCGTGGCATTACATAAATTGTATCTTTTTTCTGTGTTGATATTTTCCCATGTTAATGAGATTTGAACTGAATGTGCCTCTTAACCTTTTTTTGAACAATTTTTTTTTATTTACAGGCAAGATGATATACCGCGTAAAGGCTGTTCACGACTTGATTCGAGAAACAGCGGACATAAGCGCCGGTTTGGTGGCCAGTTCGGACTACGGATCTGCGAGAACGGACGTATTTTTATCGGAATCGGACCACCAGGAAACCGTAAACAAACTGAAAGCCATGCTCACGTCGGTCTGCGACTATTGCAACGAAAGACTGGCCGCTCTCATAAGCACCCAAAGTGATAAAAACAGTATTACCGCTCACCAGGTGGCCAACCTGGCAAAAATTGTCGAGGAATTTACGGGTATGTGCGAAAGGCTGTGCGGCAGACAGAGCGCTGCTCTGAAGGCGGCGTTTAAGATCCAGGCAGGGAATTACGTGCACAAGTTTAATTTGCAGCGGAAGAATAAACTAACGATGTTGTTGGATGCGGAAAGGTAAGACTGCTATTTTTTGGATATATGTTACATCCATTTTACAGTAAATTAAGTCTTTAAGTCTCAAGAACAGCGTGTTTTGCGTTAATTTCATGTAGTTATACGTACTTGAGATTTTTATTAATACTTTAGATTTAAATATAGAAGAGACACGGATATTTGATTTAAAAAGACTAAAGTATATTTAGATTAGATTACATTCTTTAAGGTGGCTATACCGGCCTTACTGCGACCGTTTCAGATCTATTGTGGTCCCCTTCTGACCCTTAGGCACAGATTAAGTATTTTCAGATTTTTTGTAGCAAACGCCACGAATGTTTGGGAGTGATTTATGGCTTGATGAAGTTAGAATCGACACGCGCGCTATCATTTTTACATTAAAAACGTAAATTTTTACCGCAGACGTAGGTTTTTAAAGACCGGGCTAATCATCTGCCTGCGCTCCTCCTACTTATTCTAAAATGTTAGCGTGATTGACAAAGACGATACTATATCGCGTTTCTTTGATTGATTCGTTTTTTGCGTCAGTCCATTGGTGTGCTTGCAGTGCGACCAATAGGGCATTCCATTTTATATGTATAACCAGAGAATAGGTACATTAAAGAAATGCTAACTTCATGTTAAAAATGGAAACAGACGCCACCTGGTGTCGCCTGGCAGTACTAGCTAAATTGAGGGGAATTGGAGGGGCGAGGCTTAAAAGAGGGGAAATTTTTAAAAAAATATTTTTATAAGTATCACTGACTTACTGTTTAAAGTTAATAAACATATTTTTTATTACTTTAATATAATTTAATCTATTAAAAAATATGTCTATTAACTTTACACAGCAAATCAATGATATTATTAAAGACTTATTATTTTCAGAGAAAATTCATAGTAAATAAATTACACATTAGTAAACAATATCATTTATTTTTTAGAGCTGCGATTTATATTACAATAATATTGAAATATATATATATATTTTTTAACAATGAAAAAGAATATCCCCGAACCTGAAAAAGAAAGATGATCAATTAATGACTTAAATTAGTTCAAAATACATTTTGCAAATAACTAGTGAATTGGAAAGATAAACATACTATTAAAAAGACATTTTAGTAGTATGTTATCATCTATTTACTGATAATACATTACATAAGTATATAATAGGTAAATAACATGCATAAGGCACTATGATACAACTACCTGTATCATGAAAACACACTAATATGACAAAAAATATATACTAATTTAAATTCCTTTAATGATCTAATGAAACACTATCTAGCCTCAATGCATGCCATTCCAAAGGCAAAAAAAACTGTTATACCAAATAAATATAAGTTGAATAAAACATAAACCAAGCCAACGTGCATAAACAACCAAAAAATGCATCAAGAAATACTTTTATCAGATCATACCCTTGGATATTTTATATATCGCACATCCCGTTCAAAAGTTCACTAACTCAAAATAGAGAATATAGAGAACATTGTCAGGAGAAGTAAAAGAAAATTTAAGTTAAGGCAATATGCTCCTTTTTGCATATTAACGGCCAAATAATATAATGTTGATTTAATAAAATTTTACTGGCATCCGTCTGAGGTATAAATCAGATTAAAAGGACATTGTTTTTTTTAATAATTGTTTGTTTTGTAAACATTTTTTGAAGACAATACAGTTTTGAACGGGCTGTGCGATATAAACAAGGATCTTACTATTATTTGAGGTTAGAAAGTATTTAAATAATATAAAACATAATCAAAATCATTTTTCATCATAAATTATAGAGGTACTTACGTGTTTTGATATTATTATCAGGAAATAATACGTTTAGTTAAACAGGTACGCTGCCAGGCAAGTTCTATCGGCGGGTCTTTGCAAAAGTTGAAATCTAAAAATACAAAAATACGTTTACATCTTAGTTGTATTTACGAATAAAGTATTTGTGTGTAATTTCTGACTTACCAGTTAACTGAATAATCGCATTAAATACATCCAAATGGTAATTTAATATTGTAAAAAAGCAAAATTGTTTTAAATCACTTGCCAGGACAGCCCGGCCAGCTTCTTTGTTGACAAAATGGCCGCGGTATCATGATTTAAGCAATGTGAGTGACAAAGAAAGCCAATACCTGGCAGATGTTACTTTCTTTGTCGTTGGTCCTGGCACGTTTAAATTTGACTGTTGCCTGTTTTCCCATACAAGTGACACCCCCGTGTGTATAACCAAATATATGTTTTGACAAGATTTTGACAGTTAAAACAACAAATTACAACAGATTATATATTGATTATTATATGACTTGAAACACCACGGCACTGGAATTAAGTTTTATGTGACCTTGAACAGATTAGTTCACATGGTAGCGACCGATGAATCGCTCCCAAACATTCGTGGCGTTTACTATACTTATTTTGTCTTGCAATGCCGCCGTGACCTCGGACCACTCGTGCCTTTAACTAGGGATTATGGCGTTGTCAGACTTGATTTTTTTTTCTCAAATGCATTGTTGTCTTTTCTAAAAAATGTATTCCCAGTTGAAATGGAGAATGCATTTTTTTTTAGATTTTTGTCATATTTTAAGTTCTTACACGGGAGTACTAATTCGTCAGGCAATATTTCTTTATATTTTCACTTGTTAAAAGCGTAAATATCAAGAGATAAAACAGGTAGTTTAAAAATTAAAAAAGTAAGATCTTAAAGCTTGATCAATAAAGATGAATACTAAAAAAACAGCCAGCTGATCAGAAAATAGTCTTTTTATTATTTTTAGCCATAGTTTTTATGTCTTAATAGAAGTTAAGTATATTAAGTTTTAGTATAGAAATTTGTTGGCCACCCATGGTTTTGTGGTCATTCTCGTGCCTGCGTTTGCAATGCCATAGAAGGGTTCTGGCCGTATGAATGGCAATGATGAGGCTTGTTTGGCCATTTTATCTGTTTTTTTTTTGTTACCTTTGTGATAATGTGCCTCGATACTCAGGCTAACATAACATTTCTACGCTCACCCAATGTATTTAGAGTATACACACAATCCCACACTAGTATAGAATTGACCTCCGTGGAACCGAATGCCTTTAGCGCTGTTTGGCTGTCTGTGAAGATGGCCACCGAACGATGTGTTTTTTAGTACGTATTTTCTTTATTCTTCTACATAATATTATATTGTTATTATTTCCGCCTGCAACATCCTTAGATAGGGTTACGTGGCAATATATTCCTTGTTTCGGCCCAAGTATTCCAGCTCCTACGCCTTTCGACGTTCTTCAGCCGTCTGTATATCAGGTTGTCTCAGCTTGAATGAGTACACCGCTCACGTATAAAGAGAAATTTGTCGGCATTTCACCTATTGATTCATCCATTTTAATAACTTCACACCTTTGAACACCGTCTTCAGTGACGTAACAACGAACGAACAATTCCTTTTGGGTAAAGCTAAGAACATAGTGGAGCGACGAGGATAGCGGCGAGCAAGCAGCGCGATACCGCGTCGAGCAAGTCTCGAGGTGCTAAAACATAGTAGAGCGGCGAGTAATAGCGAGGTACTTGTGCAAATTTATTATTTTCATTTGCTTATTGATAATTTGAAATGTTAACAGTGGCTAAAATTATGGGCAGTAGTGTCGCAAACATTTGGTTACATGAAATTTTCAAAAACCGGAAAAAGTGTGGCAAGTTTTATAACCTTTATGAAAATTTGTTGCCACTTCATCTCATAACTTATCTAAAATGTACCGGTTATGTTGATTACTATCTTTCTGATCCCATAAAATCTCTTACAAATACTAAATCTGTTAATTTTTGGGAATATATCATTTTCTACAGCGCGACAGAGCGACGAAAACAAAATTATTTGAATCGATCTCGCCGCACGATCTAACCGCTCGAGCAGATCGCTTTACTATGTTCGCACATACTTGTCTTTACAGGTTTGTTTTGGACGCGATGTCGCGCTGCTTGCTCGCCGCTTTCCTCGTCGCTCCACTATGTTCTTAGCCTTAGGCAGTTTTTTACTAGCAGGCAGGTTTTACTAACCGAATTCGTTCGCGTGGACCATTGCTTTATCGAGCGAATCAGCGTTTACTGAAGATACCCGAAATGCAACTCTCTGTAAACACAACCGTTTTTTTTCGACTAAAGGTATGTTTGATTATTGGGCGTTTTTCAGTTGACAATTTTATTTGCGTGCAAGAAAAGTTGCAACAATTTTACTTGCTGCAATTAAGGCACAGTTAGTTCACTCTATAGTCAGTAACTTTTATGCGAATATTTCTGTTTCTTATTGAATGTCCAACTTAAGGGAAATTAGATCATTAGCAGCTGTATCGTCAACTTCAGTAAATATTTAGTATTAAAAACTTCGATACCCTTGGAGAAATGAAGCCTTAAAATTTTTACTGCAACTTCATAAAATTGAAAATATTTCTAAAACGGTAAGGTTTAAGCAAGTTTAAGTGTGATAAATTTTAATCAAATTTACCTTTATTTCAATCGTAGAATCTAAAAATTGAATAATATACAGGGTGTTACATTTAAAAAAATACAACTATAATATTTTTTACTTATTGACACTCCGTACCTTGTAAAAATATTTTTAAAAATTGTAGCTCTAATGATCCTTAAACGAACCCAAAACTTACAATTTGTAAAAATCTTATTGTTTAGCTACAATACTTCGTGTGGTATGTGATGAACATCCCTGTATATAGGTTTTAAATTCTAAAACCTAGACCGGGTGTTGCATCGTCGGACGGGACATAGGAAATCCCATGTAAATTTTAATGGGGTCAATTATTGGCTTCCCTAATTATTTTAGAGAATAATTCTATTTAGGTTTATTGAAGAGCACTTAAACCCACATTCAAAAGAATAACTTTAGATATTTTTGATTAGCTCGTTTACGAGTTATCGCCGATTTATTTTTAAATATTTCTCCTTTCTTATGGCCCTGTATTTACTTATGAGCATTAGTCAAGGTAAAAGATAACTGTCAAATGAAGTTGTCATTTCATACATTTACCTATTTAGTGCTTTATTATTATTGAAAACTCATTCCTACATCGGAAATCCTAAAGATGTATTTATAAATGCAAATTAATATGAATTAAAGTAAAATAAAGTAATCAATTACAAGGTTAATTATAGTATTATTACAATATTCAATAACTTATTAATTTAGGTACTATTAAATTGTTAGAACTTTAGGACTTAAGAAGATGTTCAAATATTCCTCCATCGACTGCTAGACAATAACCCAGGCGATCATAAAATTCTCTTCTTACATTCGCAAGTTGGTAAACTGAACTTCTGTTGCATTCGGCAGAAATAGTATTTTTTAACTCGTCTAGATTTGGGTATTTTTTATCGTTGTATATCCTGTTTTTGAAATGGCCCCAGAGAAAGAAATCATTTGGCGAAATATCAGGAGACCTTGCTGGCCAATTTACTGTATGATTTAGGCCAATAACGTTTTTGTTAAAACTATTGTCTAAATATTCCCGAACAGCCAGGGTACTATGTGCCGGGCAGCCATCCATTTGGTACCAAACTTACTGATTTTCCCTAGCGGCATCATGTAAAGCAGGTAAAATATGATTTTCGAGTAGTTCCAAATAATATTCTGCATTTCAATTTCGCGTAAGAAATAATGGCCCGATAATATTGTGTCCGAATATCCCTGCCCAAACATTTACTTTCTGTGGATATTGCGTCTTTGTTTCGACAAACCTGTGTTGGTTTTCTTTGTTCCAATATCGATAATTTTGAATATTGGGTTCATTATTTAAGGTAAACGTGCATTCGTCAGTGAAACATATGTTTTTTAAAAATTCCCTATCCGTGTTTGCTCTTTCCATCATATCAAAACAAAACGCCTGCCGCCGTATTTCGTCCCCATCTCGTAGCTCTTGGTGCTTTTTATTTTTGAAGGAATAGTATTTATGTCGTTTCAAAATTCGAAACGCTGTAGTGTGATCTATTCCTATTTCATCCTCAAGTTTCCTTGTGCTGATCTTTCCATCGTTCTCTTCCACGCACAATAAAACTTCCAAGTCGGTATCATTTCTTGCATCGTCTCTTTGTTCCTGCCTTGCTTCACATTGCTGCAGTTATTTATTAGGGTACCTTTGATCTGAAATCTCTGGATATTCCTTGCGATTGTAGATTTTCCAGGTATCGGTCTATTCGGATACAGAGCAGCAAATATGTCCGACACCTTCTGATATTATTTTCTTGATAATACCATTTAATCATCAATACTTTTTCTTCGGTAGTGTAATTCATGGCTAATATTTTCGATGTAGGTATGAGTTTTTAATAATAATAATAAAGCACTAAATAGATAGATAAATTTCTGAAATGACAACTTCATTTGACAGTTATCTTTTACCGTGACTGGTGCTCATAAGTAAATACAGGGCCATAAGAAAGGAGAAATATTTAAAAAGAAGTCGGCGATAACTCGTAAACGGGCTAATCAAAAATATCTAAAGTTATTCTTTTGAATGTGGGTTTTAGCGCTCTTCAATAAACCTAAATAGAATTAGTCTCTAAAATAATTAGGGAAGCCAATAATTGACCCCATTAAAATTTACGTGGGATTTCCTATGTCCCGCTCGACGATGCAACACCCGGTATACAGGGTTGTTCACCACATACCAGGGTTACCAGGGTTAGAATATTACATTGTTTGAACATTAAAACATCATCAAATTTATTGTGAATGAATTTGGATTTTGGAATGAAATTTTTAACTCTTCAACATAATGTTCCACTTTTACACAGGTGGAAATCTGCTGAAGTTCCTCCTGAAATCCAGTTACTTATGGACAACTTAGCCTTAGGCGACGTCATCAAATCCTTACCCGGATCTCCGACGGAAGAAGAAATGAGTACCACCTACACAAACAAATCCACGGTAGCTTTGAAAGTGGGTACACAAGACTATGTTACGGCTGGCACAGTGTTGATTCTCATACGGTTAGTGATAGAGTACTGCGTTTGCGCGTACGACCTACAACTCTTAGCTTCGGTAATCGGTAGGAATTTGTCAGAATTACTTAGGACGTTCAACTCACGATCGTGTCAGCTAGTGCTAGGCGCAGGTGCCTTACGTACCGCCGGCTTAAAAACAATTACCAGTACTAATTTAGCTCTAGCATCGAGATCGTTGCAACTGGTTCTCTGGATGATTCCGCCCGTTAGGAGTCATTTCAGGGCGTTAACGGGAGACGCGTTGAGCGGATTTGACAGCGTGGAAAAGGATATAGGTCATCATATCCAGCAGCTGGAGTCGAAGATCTTGTCCATTATGAACACTCTGTTGGGGGATCAGTTGAACGAGTGGGATGCGAAACCGCCGGTGCCTAGTAAACAGTTTAGGAATATTTCTAGGCATTTGACGAAATTACACGAGGCTGTGAGTTCAGTTCTTCCTGAAGAGCAGGTATTATTTTGTTTTAAGTATTATATTAAGTTTGGCTTATCTGCGTTTTTAAATTAGCACATCATTAAGTCGAGGCTTATTTAAAAAAAAATACTTTGAGCTATAAACCAATGCATCTTTAGTCGTTAAAAATAGCATTTTTATTCAAGTATAAAAATGGTGTTTTAATGGTAATAATAATGTGCTGTTCTTGCAGTTTTGCTCTCTGCGATATTTTTCAAATAAATTCCTGATATACTTACCAGTCCTATAAAAGAAGTTCTATGGAAAATTTAATTAATTTTAAATGTAATTTATAAAAAAAAGGGAGAAAAAATTATTTTAATATCAATTGAAAAAAGAATAAGTAAAAAATATGAATTAAACCGAAAATACCTCAAAATGAAATAAATAATTATAATTTTGATTGAAGTAGTCTATCTAGTAGCTTCCTATTATTTTATAAATTTCAGAGGATTTTATATGAATAGTTTTATTACTAATATTTTTTGATTGGTAATAGATGATGTAGGTAGCAAAGTTGGGAATTGAAATATTTCAAATTATAGATTTTAATTGCTACGTTGTCGTTGTATTGATTACAGTATTAATTTTGCATTCTTATACAGGGTGGCGCACCTCATTCGCCTCGGTCGATTATACGAAAACGGAAAGATGTAGAAACAAAATATTCTATGGGTGTACGTGGGCAGGCAATGTGCACAATTTAAGATTATTTTGAAATATGCAGGGTCTTTCAGAACTAAGATCAATACCAAAGTTATATTTTTTCTTACGAAAAAACTACTAACTGTCACTAGAAATTTACCATGAAAATATCAGCCCTATTGGTTACCATTTTATTGAAAAATTGCTCTTTATTCAAAATCTGAGCTAGATAGGTATAGGATACCCTAATATAGTTTAAAAGAGCATTTGAATCTCCTTCGATTTATTTAAAAAAATACAGGGTGTTGTATTTGAAATAACAAAGTTATTATGTAAAATAAATATTTAATATAGGCCAGCAATTTTTGATACCCCTGTATACATTAAATGAAGCATTCACATTTTTTAGTAAAGTTTATTTCTCTGACTTAAAAGTCAGCACAAGAATTAATTCTGAAAAGTATTGTACAGGATGTTGAAATGTTTTTTATTATAGCATGCATATTTAAATATCTTAAAAACCAAAGCTTGTAAACATATTTAACCCTTATAATAAATGACTTATTTTGTGTCCAGGTATCCAAATATGAAATAAAATACCGGGTGTTCCATAAGAAAAATTATGACTTTGGTGTGGATCTTAATTCTGACATACCCCGTACATTTCAAATTAGTTTTAAATTGTGCACATTTCCTCCCACATATACCCACAAAATCTTTTGTTTCTACATCTTTCCGTTTTCGTATAATCAACCGAGGCGAATGAGGTGTGCCACCCTGTATAAATGAATGTGAATAATCTCTAGGAAGCCAACCAAACCAGACTTAGTATTTTTTAAAGATTTTAAAATGTTAAAATCCTCTCTACGAACGTTGATTTAAGTAATAAAAACATAGTTAAAAATATATTAGTCCAGTCAGATATATTGCATTGTAATATTATATCAAAAGTGTCAATTTTGTTTATTTTAGATAAGCGACATCTATCAAGAAATCCACAAAAACTTCAAAACTCGAATAAGGGATCAGTTGGTGAAAATGAACATTCAGAATAATGGAGGTCCCCAGCACGGGCTGGTCACATCAGAGACAATTTTTTACCTTCAAACCATGAAAATGCTAAAGGTTTTACCCGAAAAGTTTGTTGGAGATAATGCCATGGATGATATATGGGATAGGTAATAGTTTAGCTAAAATTATGTGAATAAAAATAAATTTAAAGTGAATATTTTATGGGAGGTAATATGTACAAGGCATTGACAGAAAAAAAATCCATTAAATTACCTATTTGATGTATTTAAATGTATATGAGTTGAAGTTGCAATATTTTATAAAAAATTAGTGTACTATTAGGTTTGCCTTGAATATGAGTGTAGTATTTATGTATGTATTTTTTGATACACTTCTATTCTTTATTTAAACTAGAGTGGGCACACATTTTAAGAAGTAGCCAGGAGCGACATCATATTTTGCCAACAATGCCGCGCGAAATAATTCGAAATATTATTTTTTATAGCATATAGTACTCGCAAAACATTTTCCGATGCACGTCATCAATCATATCGACATAGATACGAAAGTCTAGAAACCTGACTAAATGAAATTTTGGCAAAAATGTTTAAATTTGTTGCATAATTTAAGATACCGAGCAGCTCTTTATTTTACTTTACAGAGCAAATGATTGTAACAGATATTTTATTTAGATTAAAGCTGCAAAAATTAGTTTAAACCAAATTCTATTATCGCTATGTTGGTCATATTACGACGTGTTATTATCGCAATGCTGTCCTTTATTATTTGACAATTATTATCCTAGAGTCAGTTATTATTTTGTATAATATCGTGTTGTTTTTTTGCCTATTTTCATAGTCTTTTTTTAAAAATTGCATTTTTAAGCACAAACACTTCTTTTAAGAACTAAATATTCAAGTTTTTGTATTGCATTTCTTGAAATAGTGTGTTGAAAATATGCCGAAGCAAAGAGCTTGTAGCTTCCCTGTTTTTTAAATCAATTTTGAAGGAGAACGTGACAATAAAGGTCCTTTATTAACCTTGATTGCAGTCAGAAAAGTAAGTTTGATTGATAAGCACATTATACCACTTTCAAAGTTAGTTTTTATTAAATTCTGTGATTATAGTTTGTGCATATCTTACTTGTTATTACCAATTAGGGCGTTGTAAGATGTACATCAATAAATAAATAACCCATAATAACGCTTATAATAATCTTCATAATGAACTAGTTTTTGCCAATATGTAATAAGTAAAATAAGCTATAAAACAAATAAATCAATTAATCACTAAAATATTAGTTATTAAATTAAAAATAAAACGTAAAACTCTTTAAAAAATTATGATTCATCTCATAAATCCATCACAATCTGGCAGCGCTGTCGCCATCGCTTTTCTCTCAAAGTTGATCACGTGCATCGGAAATTGTTTTGTGATTACCATAGAATAAAAATATCTAAGCTGGCGCTCGTGAATCACCGAACCGTCGAACCGCAAACAAGGGGCGGTCGCTATGCGGACTCTCCTGGTTCCTTAAAATGCTCCCAGTCTACCCTAGATATAACGAACTAGGAACTGTTTATGATGAATTATTTAGTATTTTTACATATATCATATAAAGACTGACAATCGTTAATCTAGCTCAATTTAAGAAAATAAATTGTTGATTGTTGTTAGAAGGTGGCAAATTATTATACATAATTTGCTTAAATAAATTGAAGAAAAAAGTTTTATTATATTTGTGACAACGCCCGGGTGAATCGAGACGTCGACGTCGGTTTCCGGTACTTCACCTAAGGTAAGCGACGTTAGAGGATGTAAAAAATGCCGTTGTTCTTTTTTCCAAGGTAATCCTATAAAATTTACAAAGACCTATTGTTCCTTTGCCAAATCGGATGTTTCGTGAGTAAGAGTCGATTTATACACTCGCTAATTCGGTAGGCTATTAAATAGCTGAAGACCGCGGTTTGGAATCCGCGTTAACCAATTTGGCACCATCTGGAGTAACACTGACAGCAAAAAGAAGACGCTAACTTAAAATACTTTAATATTATATTTAGAAAACAGCAGGTTTAGTCGTGACTGACTAAGTTAAGAAAAAACTCAAAATTTAAGCGAAGATGCAGTCAATAATCGCCATACAGGCTAATAAAACTACTTTTTCAATTTGCCAAGATTTCGAGAATTTTATTCCCATCATCAGGTTTGGTTGTAAATAATAATTTTTCCTTCTGTTTCCAATGTCAGATGATGTTAGCTTTTAAGGCCTTATTGTGCAGAGGATGCTATTTTGCTATTTGACTCATTCAAACTAACCTGATGATGGGAATAAAATTATCGAAAGCTTGACAAATTGAAAGAGTAGTTTTATTAGCCTACTTGGTGATTATTGACTGCATCCCCACTTAAATTTTGAGTTTTTTTTTAATTATATTTACATGTAAAATAATCTTTATATACACAATTTGGAAAGCTGACTTTCGGTGTCGATTTCCGCGTGTAAGAAGAGCACACTGAATTTGTTCAGTTTAATGAAATGTACTGAACAAAGAGAGAATAGCAAAAATGTTACCAAATTCGTAAAAAGAGCATCGAATTATGTAGTTATATAATATACATACCGTCGCATTTTATCATCTCAAACTTACAAGATTCCTATAATGATATAATCCCCATTTTTACTATGCACTGATACATCGATTTGATGCTTTCATGCACACGTAGTGAGTATGGGGTTCGTCGATGCGATTCGTTGATATTTGTTCATTTGGAAATGCGTCCATTATGTGTTCGTAATATTTCTTTTGGTGGCTCGTCCAAAAACCGTCATTCTGCCGAACCGCCGCACAACCCGTGTGCAAATCGCATTGACGCATCGACAAACCGCATCAGTGCATAGTGATTATGGGGCTTTACTCCTAAACATACAAATACCGACCTAAGATACTATATTGCCAAGCCTGTATATCTGATCTTATTAATGAAGGATCATTTTGATTGAACATTTAGATACCATGGGGCCTCTGGTATCTATTTTCGTGGGATTATATTGCTTATGAAAAATAATCCTTGTGATCCTGTTAAATCTGACCTAATAAAGATCCACCATGACGTCATATTTGATTTACTAACTAACCTCGCTTTTTTCACGAAAGACAATATTTCAATACCAATGTGTTCAGGGGTATTTCCGATACTATATAGCTACTACACAGCCGACTATATACGTTGATGACATCACCAAAAAGCTGTTTGGCGTTGATATTTCGAGGGTTCCTGTACTGCCCCCCAAATTGTTAACCATGGTGCTTTCAGAATGGACATTCTTATTAATGATGCATCAAGACAATCATAGTATGCCAGGTTATTTTCTCTTTTTATTTATACATGTTTTGTCATTTTTTTAATAGTGTTTTGTATTTCGTTGGTCAGACAAATTTGTGTACAAGTAAAAACCCACTGAGAAGTTGGAACGTCCAATGTCCCGTGGAGTGTAAACCCTCTAGATAAAATGTATACATGCTGGGCCATTTTTATTTGGATTTATACATGTTACATTTTTTTAAGTTTTGTTTAGTTATTTTAAATAGTTCTTGTTATTTTTAAATAGTGTTTTGTTTTTCGTTGGTCAGGCAAATTTGTATACAAGTAAAAACCCACTGAGAAGTTGGAAAATCCTGTAGAGCGTTAACAGTGTGTGTAAACCTTCAGGGCGTTTTACATAAAAGATATAAATCCCGGGATATTTTTTTCTTTTTATTTACACACATCTTCCATTTATCTTTTTTTTTTAATTTCGTTTAGATATTTTAAATAGCGTTTGTTTTTTTGTTTGCCAGGATATTTTTTTTACATTGATCTTTTTTTAATTTTGTTTAGATATTTTAAGTTTTTGTTAAGTTTATAAATGGTTTTGTTTTTTGTTTGCCAGGCAAATTTGTGTACAAGTAAAAACCTATTGAGAAGTTGGAAAATCCCGTGGAGTGTTAACAGTGTGTGTAAACCCTTAGGTCGTTTTTCATAAAATATATAAATCCCGGGATATTTTTTCTCTTTTTATTTATACATGTTTCAGTTATCTTTTTTTAATTTTGCTCAGATATTTTAAATAGTTTTTGTTAGTTTTTAAATAGCGTTTTGTTTTTTGTTCGCCAGGCAAATGTGTGTACAACCCACTGAGAAATTGGAAAACTCCGTTGATTGTGAACCCTTACGGCCTTTCACATAAAATATACATTTAGAGTTTTCTGTTTCAATGTCAATAATTCCGGTTTTTTTAGAAATTTATATGTATTTTCATAGGTTTGGGACATAGTAGATCTTTAAGGTCGCAGTGATTAACTCTCATTCATAAGTTTATTTTTTGAAATTGTTCACAGAGTTCAGTTGTGTCCATTTAAAATTGAAGTTAGTTGCAGATAGTTGTAGGCATTAAAATGTATTTTAATGCTATTTTTTGTTAATACTTGTTCGATTTAAAATCTGTAGAACTTTAGGGGTCTTTGATTTTGTCTAAATCTTTTACTTTGGGTTCTTTGATGTTGTCTAAAATCCCTGCATTTCATAGGATGTTATTCAGTAGGTTCATTAATAGCTTCTGGACGTATCTTCTAATGTTACCAATTTAACTATCTTTAAGCCCCTGATATAGTTCTAATACAGATTTGTGTCCATTTTCAACCTTTTAGGGATAAAAGTTATTTCTTGTTTCCTCTATATATTCTGGTGTAGTAATATTTATTACTTCAAATAGTAGATATTTCTTATGTTTATTGATAGTCCATCTCCTTCTCTTAATATGTTTTAAACTTAATTTTTATTGCTTGATCCATCTTATTTTTCTTTCTTTTTATTTTCGTTTATGAAAACGGCTTCTTTCTTTTTTAAAACTTGTCTTATTTATTTATTATTTTTTTAGTGTGTCTAATAATATAAATTTAGGAGAAATATCTACTGTACCATCCTTAAATCATAAGAAACAATCAGGGTAATTTGATTGTACATTTTTCATTTGGAAAATAGAAAATTAGATGTTTAGCGAACCATAATCGATTAAAAATTTGATAATGTTGCCTTAGATTAAATATAGTAAATATACAGTATATCTGGTTCAAAGTGTGAGCAAGATATAAAAAAAAACATTGTTTATGTATATTTTGTACGTTTTCGTAAGTTTGAGATGGTCATTCGACCAACGGATGAACGTTCACGTTTTTCTCTTAAGCTGTATTTATTACGCTTACAAAACTTTCAATGCTGTATATTTTAATGTATTTAATCTAGTTTCCTGCTTCGCTATAAGCTCTTGTAGATAAAACATGTCATTTTCTTTGAGTTATATTATAATTTTGAAAACAGTTCTGAATATGTATATTTCGTAGAATATTTTTGTGTGATGGACATAATGTTTGAAGGTGTTAATCGACTTGGGTGTTTCTTGATATATCATTAAAGTAAAAGTGTATGTTTCACATGAGTAGTTGACCACTTAATTTTTCTTAGTGTCGGTGTACATATTATCCTTCCATATTTTTGTTTTTGTTACTTATTGATAAAAATGATAAAAAATAAGTTATTTCGGACAATTAAAATAATATAAAACATGTGATTAACGAAATTAATTATATAAAAAATATATTTACTTGTGATTATTGCCATTAATTTTTTTAAATTTACAATATAAATAAAAAGCATTCAGTTTTTAATGTTTTTTTTTTTCAAGTTGAATATAAAATATAAGTATGTATATAAAATATCTGTAAATCTAAGACAAATTATTTATTTAATTCCATAGAACTGACTGATTTTTTTATCACTGTATGCTTTTTGTTTATTTCCCAGATACTTATAATTTTTTTAAGAATTTTACATTGTTTTGTTGTTATTTGTTATATTATATTATGAATAAATAGCATAAGTCAAATGACATTTATTGCTGATCATAATGTGCAATTCATTTTTGTTTTTTATAAATATTATTTGAAAATAACTATCTTTTTATGTCTCTTTCCCTCATTATATTTTTTTTAATCAAAGGAAATAAAGAAGCGATTGTTAAGATCTGTTATGTTCAAGTATATATATGTATATAAACGAGATTTGGTTTAAGTATTTAATACTCACTTCCAACTACAGCTGCCTTCCCGTTACCCTACCCCACACATCTCGATTTAGAGCGTCATCAGCTTCTAGGTTACGAGCTTCCATTGCTTCCTTAACCGTTCTTTTCCAGGATTTTCTAGGTCTACCTTTCTTTCTTCTGCCCTGGGGAGCCCATTGAAAAACTTTTTTTGACTACCTGCTCTCCGGCATACGCAGAACATGTCCAAACCACTTTAAGCTGGATTTTTCGATTCGATCTAGTACTGTTTCCTCCGATGCATTCATGATACGCCTGACCTCGATGTTTGTTTTGTTTCCATCCCAGGTATACCTGCGCTTCTTCTAAGGTAGTCCATTTCAACAACTAGGATTTCGCGCTTCGCGTTTGCACTCAGAGTCCATAGCTCTGAACCATAGCAAAGAATTGACTCCACCAATGTTCGTTCAAGTCTCTTTTTAGTAAAACTAAACCTCTTTTTAGTTGTTGCAGACAAGTTTCGTTCCCACCAGAGGCTATTAAGCCATCCAATAACTTGTTTGCACTTCTGAATTCGGGTTTGTATTTCTTCCTTGCCCAAACCCTCGTTGTTGATAGTAGCACCCAGGTATTTAAATTTGTCTACTTGTTGAATCTGGACGTTATCATTAATGAAGATTTCAAAACAAGCGTTGGAATTGACAGCTAAGTATTCCGTCTTTTTTAGACTAACCTGAAGTCCCCATTTGTTGTATTCTTGATAAAGCCTCTTAGTCATGAACTCCAGATCGTATGAGTCCTGCGCAATCACAACCTGATCGTATGCAAAGCTCAGGGTAAATAGTGTGTTGTCCCCAATGGGTATTCCCATATCTTGACATTTCGTCTTCCATTCCCTAAGGGCTACTTCGACGTAAGCGTTGAAGATCAGAGGAGATAAGCTGCATCCTTATCGCAACCCTTTTGTGGTATTAATTGGATTGGATAGCCTGTGTCCTATCTTAACGTATGATTCATTTCCTTTATATAGCTCTTTTATTATCTTAAGTAAGGGTCTATCTACTTATAAGATATTCAAGAGTTCCCATATCTTGTTGCGAGGAATATACAAGAAAATTAATATTAACATTTAAAACTAAGGTACTAGGTACTAAAACTACTCGTAGGTACTTAAATTGAATTCTGGTTGTCTTGACTTGAGGGTAATTATATTGATTTAAGTAATTTTACTGACTTAACTTGCAAATAATCATAATTTAAGTAAAAAATATAGACTTATGTCATAAAAACGACTTAAATAACGTAATCGATTTAAGTCTTTACAAAAATGACTTGACTTAAAATAAAATGATTTATAGCGCTTTCAGATGGAGCGGAGCGTCTGCGCGGACCGTCCGCGCTCTTTTTGTGCTGCTTGTTTTTTCAAGATAGACGAAATCATCCGGACGGAGCATACGCAACCCATGTGAAATTGTCCATTTAAACTCATGAAACTCGCGGACGCTCCGCTCCATCTGAAAGTGCTGTTAAGTCAAAGATTTAAGACTTATATCATTTGAACTTTATGTTAAAGTTGACTTAACAGTTAAATAATTTTGATTTTATGAATGACTGAAGACTTATGTCTTTTTAAAGCTGACTTGCTGCAGCGCTGCTCACCATGATGTGCCTAGGAATAGCAGGTGTTGGCCACTTCATTTTATCAAATAAGTTTAATTTTGCAGAACTTAATACAATGAATGGATTCCAAAAACCCACGCTATTTTTTTTGTGAAAAGTATCGCTGAAGGATTCGTTCGGCAACCAATTCTAAAAAGAATATATACCCAGAATATTTCAAGAATTATAAATAAACAGGAAATTATTCTCTAAATGTCGAACAATCAAACTAAAATATACTAAAATATACGATCTTGAATTATTATCTGTGAAAGAAAGACCAAAACTGAAGAAGGTGTTATTTATGTCTCAAAAATCATGACAGAGAAAAACAAGTTAGCTGCCCCAAGTGCACCAAATGGATAAGTAAAATCTATCAACAATAATAGCTTAGCAAACAAGGCTAAAGTAGTTTCTGAATGCCAGAAATTCAGGCAATTAATATTTAGTTACAAGTTTTTCAATGTCTACAATTAATTGTTATAATTTAAATAAATGCGTATGTTTTACATAATTACTAATATGACATCATCAAAAATCCATTAGGGTATTAAAATACCCCATGCGAGTTCTTAGTTAACATGCGCTAACGGAAGGTTAAATATAAAACAAAAACAGAAATTGTCGATTGAACAAAACGTCAATTTATTCAAATATATCACTTGGTATATTTTCTCCTTTAGCAGCTCTGACAAACAGGTTTTTATTCGACTTCGGACTGGAAGCTACACACCAGAAGTTTTCCGCAGTTTCCATTTTGTGCGAATCCCGATACGTATGACAACTCACCGTACATTCAGCACCGAAAAACGTTGGAATCCACTTAGTGGGTTCCACAGCCAAGTTCTGACCTGATGCCGAATGCTGAATAATCACTCTGGTATCCGGCTTGAAAGGTGTTCCGATGGTCTCGATTCTTCTCTGAGGGTTCCAGTGCAAAATTTTGAAACGACAATAGACATCTGCCACGCTGGATAAACGAAGCGATAGATGGTGGCCGAAAGTATCAATGGTTGAATTCTCGCACTGGACATACAGTGGTCCATTACCGCCTTCAGAAATTTGAATAAGAACGTCTTCTCCACAGGTTACTTGGTCCCCGTCTTTGGAATTTCCACATCCGACTAGTTTAAAGGTATTTCTCACTGAAGATTCTCTAGTCGGAGATGCTGTAAGCATGCAGCCATGACTGAAATGCTGACACACGTCGATTTCCCGTTCAGTTATCAAACCACATAGAAACAATCCTTTGGAAATGTCACAAACACCAAACTTTTCGTTTAGATCTGATGTTTTTATCTGGTAGTTTTCGCCGAAGCTTACAAAGGCAGTTTCGTAGGCCGTGGATGTTGGTTTCATGATGTTACGCATCATTTTTTTCGTTTTCTGGATAAGCATTTGACAGTGTTCCCTTTTATAGGCCGTTGTGGAATCTTTCTCCTCTTGTAGAGCCAGATCTTCGTTCCATAGTCCAAGTCGCACTGGCAGGGAGTAAATAATTCTATTTTCATATACTGCATTCTTCTCTTCGTCCATTTTATCGTTGTATATCATAGTAATAATCGTAGAGGGAAAACTAAAACCGTTTAGGTACGAAATTTCTTATCATTAATACGTCATAATTATTTATTATTATGACTAGTGACAAGAAGACACTGACAATTTGATGATGTTAACCAGTTGCAACTTGCGACATTCCTTATGTACCAAATCGAGCCCTATCATTGGGATCTCGGATACTAGAACAGATACGAGGTCTAGAATGGTAACACCACATAGTGCTGGAAATAAAAATAGCATATTATGGGCAGAATTTTATGCGGAATCCAAAGCTATAGAAAAATGGGGGGTGCAATTTAAAAAAAAAACTTAAAACTTTATCATAACTTGTTTGGGGCCATCCGCAGTACACAACAGAAAACTTTTTAGGATACCATGCAACATCTCTATAAAACCTGTTTTCATATCTTTATCAACAACGACGATATTGGACTCATCTCTATTATTTATGGGCCACCCTGTATATTTTCCAAGCGAGCGCCTAGTGGCGGCAAATCTTTTTATAGTTCATTTAAGGACACTTTGATCTCAATAACAGATATGAAAAAAAGTTTATGCATATTTAAGCATTGTTCTAAAACTCAAGATTAAGTTTAGTTTTGTATGATACACTATACAGGGTGGGTCTTAAATAAGTGCAAATATTTTTAGGACTGGTATATCTTGATAAAAGAAACATATTTTCTCTTTACCATTTTTCAATTAAATCCAAAGTAACTGAGTTATTTTAGTTTGAAAATTTCAAAAAAATGATTTTTTGGAAAAATTTTGAGAGCCACCAGCTTTTTTCTGTATTTGCATCCCTTTTAGTGCCGTAACCATATTAGAGTAAAGCTGTAACTATGGTAATATCAGAGATTAAGAAATTATACCGTTAACATCTTTTTTTTGCGAAAAAAAAACTCATAGACGTGTTTCTGGGGTGGAAATATACCACCCCTGAAAATATTTGGACTTATTTAAGACATCGTTAAAGACTTACCCTGTATAGTAATAGGATTTTCAAACTTATTGTTATTAATACATGTTGGTATTAAAGAACTCGACAAATCTTAAGCTCATAATTCATATAGAATCATACTGGCAGGGCTCATAATTCATATAGAAATATAATAAAAGATTTATTAAGTTTTAAGATAAGTATGAAATTTTGCAGTTTAATTCATAATAGTCAATTTTAAGGTTGATTATCAGTATTCTACTACCTTCCGTTTCCATTCCATATCCGTTCCGTATTTTTTATTATATTGACGCTATACGTAAGCTTCCGTTCCGTATCAGTTTCATATTTTTTATTATACAATTTATATCTTATATCATTACGAAAGTTTTATTTTAAAAATGTGTATCTTTTGAAAAAGGTAATAGATTTAATTAAGAGGTGAAAGAATAAATAAATATCAGCGAAATTTTAACAGAGCTGGTGCAAATGGAACGAAAGGGAAACGGAACGGATAGTGTGCATTGTCATATATTTACTTACATGATATAATATATTATGTAAACGGAAGGGAGCTGATATGGAAGGTATAGTGAGAATCAACCTTAATACGGAAATCCATTTAAAATAATATTATGGCAAAACACCCCTATTCAGTAAGTTATCCGAGAAGTTATCTAAAATAAACTTATGACTATTTGTAACAAATTTGAAGTTTGTAGGACACAATTGTTCAAAAAATGTCGCTAGTTAGAAATTTTGCATGATTGCTGTATGCCCAGCAAATTGTATTGGGTTGATCCACTGTGTGACGATGTACAACAAAATGTTTCGTATTAAAAAATAGTGCGCATATTTGAAGTAAAACTTCTTACTAACAGCTGTTATATTTAAGGATTTGACATGTTTGAAAAAGTGACTTCAATTAATTTATTTCGGTCATTTGTACGTTTTCTATTTCCTCAATAGCCTGCAAAAAATTTGTGAAATACCACCCAAAATCTATACTATTATGCAAATGCCTAATGTTAACGCTTAAATTTATCTAAGAAGAGAAAAAATGTACCTAACCAACAATTCGTATTTATAGTGGTTTATAGTAATTTTTTAAACTTATACACGAACATTCTCGTTGATTATTGGTTTAAAATAAATATGACAGTGTCCTCCAATGAAAATGCGAGTTACTAACCCTATAATAATTCTAATTCTAACCTGGCAACTGAGCTAGATGCTTTACTTAGACCGTTACTCAGAAGCTATAAACCTATCGATGAAAATATGCATGAAAGTTTACTTCCTAGCACACAACTAGAAGATATTGGTACACAAGGATAGTCTCAAGTTTATTATAGTGATTTTTTTAGCCGTGTGTATGGCACAGAGAGAGAGAGAGAGAGATACTGGTTTATAGAGCGCGTCAACAGCGAGGGTTTTTTAGCGCTCAATAATAATCTCTAGTTAATATGAGGTTATTTTAAATTATTAGAAATTAAAGTTTTTCGTTATGTTGATGCTGTCTAAGAATTCCATAACTTTATTAATCTTCGAAATGTTAAAAGGTGTGAAAATATTCTCATAGGTAACAGCATTAAAGAATCTAGACTTGGGAGGCAACAGGTAAGCATTAAAAAATGTGTCTCATTGACATTAAGTTATTGCATAAGGTGCATTTCGGAGGGGGTTCATTTCTGATAATGTATGATTTTTGTAAGATATGAGTATCATGTGAGGGTTCTAACAACTTTACAGAAAGATCCGGGTTCAAGAGAATATATATTTTGATAGAGATGAAGAAGTGGCATATGTGATCTAAATTTATTAGTTCCCTCGAGGATGTCCCATTCATATTTTGAAGTATACGGAAGAACATTTTTAACATTGAAAATGTTTCTGTTATCTATAAGGGAGCCCAAAAATCGAATTAAAATGCTACATTTGCCACACCATGACGTCATATATACAAGGGTATAGGAAATCTCGGCGCAGAGGCGGCAGTCGGCCAGCGCGCGCAAAAACCATTACATCGCTAATTGTTTATTGATATATCTTTATTAGTTTAAAAGCAAAAAATATGGGGTTTGCTTTGATACCTTGTCAAGACATAAGCGAAACTTTTAAATTGTTTCTTTTTTTCATTTAGGCCTTCGTTTTTCGTTAAATGAAAGTTATATTAAAAAAATCTATTTTTAAACCAAATTTTCGCATGATTGAAATGATTATTCATGTTTAAAGTTTTTTTTTGGTCATAAGCGCTAATGGAAATGTTTTTTTGTAAATAATTATAAAAAATTACTCCCTACGAAGACTTTATTGTGTACTGGATCAAAAAATAAGTATTTGTTTTCTCTATACGGTGGTATTAATATATCGATTTTTGATGATAGTGCCTTTTTACCCTGTTTAATTTTGTACTACTTTCGGAATAAGGGTCCCCATATCATGTACTGTGATGTACTGTACTTCCATCCCTGAAAAATTCAGCTTGTGACACCGAAGTGAGAGGTAACGTCAAAATAAGCTTTAATCTACCTACATCATCATAGGTAGGTGTAGGTACTCTAGGTAAATTCTACCTAGACAGTAGCTGAACTAGCTGACAGTAGTAATTAATTTGTTATCCGATAAGTAGTTGTCATTATATAAGTTTAATCGTCTTATACCTCCTATAACGGTAGGTTTTGGATTTTTCCTGATTGGTTTGTTAAACAAAAATATACTGGGCATATAAATGTCTGTTACAGGTTAATTCGTTAAAGAAATATGTTACACACATATTATTTTAATAATAATAGTATAATAGTAATGGCTATATTATGTTATAACACATTATTGAATTAACAATTGAAAACAGTATTGAATGTACTTATTTTAACCAATGCATTGTTTTGTTTTTTTAATCTCACAAATAAGAAATATTTTATAGTTTTTATTATAAAAAACAGTGATTATACAATTTATTTACACCCCTTACACTGTTTTCTGTAAGGGGTGTAACCAGGAGTATATTTCGTAACCTTTTACGATATAAGAGGGCACAAAGTGTTTTATTACTTAATGCTTAAAATTTAATAATATATTTGTACATAAAATAAAATAGACTAGAAAGTCAATTAATTAATATTGACGTAATTACTAAATAAGTACAAGATTTTTTTTCTAATTATTTTAGTGTATTTTTAGTCACCGAATTATAAAGGAGAGATATCCAACCATTGCATTATTTTACTCACAAATAAATGTTTTATGGTTTTTATTATAAAACAACGATTAATTTATTATACACCCCTTAACCCAAACACTCCAAGGAGGATATTTCGTGACCCCGTATTTAAAGTGGACAAGGTTTATTAGTCAATGTTTTAATTACCCAGCGTCTTTAATAAAAATCTAATGTAATTTTTCATAGAAATGATCTGACATGAAAAGCAAATTTTATCAAAAAACTTTTTGATTATCTACAAGGAGTAAACCGCTGACAAATGTCTGTATACTAATGCCAAAGTAATGCCAAAAATACAAATTAAATACCAAATTTCTCATATAATGCCCCACTAATGCCAAGCTGATTCCAATATAATACCACTAATACCACGAATAATATGTAACACATTTGTTTCACGAATTAACCTGTAACAATACTGGTAGGTACGTGCACAGATTTTTTCCTAGGTAACTTAAAAGTCGTTAAAAAGTCTAATTATATTTAAAGAAGATATAATTCCAACAAATTACATTATAAGGCCAATAATGCACAAGTAATACCATTAAAATTTTAGCGTTTTTAACTTGTGTAACATATTTCTTTAACGAATTAACCTGTAACAATAGTGGTAGGTACGCGCACAGATTTTTTCGCTAGGTAACTTATTAAGTCGTTAAACAGGCCTATAAAAGCTATAACAACATAGGTAACTAATATTTATAATTTAATTCGAGTTTTAATCTCAAATAATAAATGTTTTTACTGGTGTATTTCTGAAGTGTTCATTATTAAAAGTAGATATTCTTCAAGTTATGCGAAGTAATAAGTAATGTTTCCGGTGAGACCGCGTATATGTCACCGGATTCTGGTTAGTATAAAGACTTTTTCTATAGAAAGAGTTTTTTCTATATTTTCCTTTCAAAATAAGACTAATTTCTTCT